CGGAGCTGCTGGGGACCTCTGTGGCCTCTGCAGAGCTGCCAGTTCTCCCAGAAGCTGCCTGCTGCCCACAGGCAAGAGAGAGACCAGCTGGAGGACCCTGTCCTGTAGGGATAGAGGTGGGTGTGGGGTCTCAGCAGGTGAATAGTGGCAAGTGCAAAGCAAAGTGGGGAAATTTGGGATGTGGGGGGCTTCGGAGAAAAGCGATGCAACATTGCAGTGTGGCACAACAAGAAGCCTAACCCCCCTTTTCCAGAAACATGCCGCTGACCCAAAGGAACAAAAACTGAAACCAAAATATCAGCACCTCTGATGAAACCCCCTGTGCCGTGGGGTTTCGGTGTCATAAGAAACATGTGGGAAAATGCATAGGGAGAGAGTACCTTTCCAAGTACCAGTGCTAATTTATGGGGGAACAGAGTGTGAAATGCGTGTAGTTCTTCACGGTCGGGTACAGAAGGGGAGGGCAGATGTGAGAGCAAAGGAGTTAATGTTTTACACATGGAAATTGAAAGCAGTGTGCCAATTAGGAAAGGAGCAGCAGGTGATCCCCATGGCCATGCCCTCCTGATAGCAGATAGCTGAGCACCACAGCCCCCTTTGCATGTTTCTGGAGGGATCCTGAGTGCAACTGACACGCGGACCCTAGATGGCGTGAGGTTTTAATGCATAACGGCCAGGAAACCTAGTCTTGTAATGAATAAGCGGGAGGGTAACATCCTTCTCTGCTGTTAGGAAATCGCTGGCTCTGGGAGGGGTCAGTTCTGGTATGTGAAGGCCAGTCACATGCCTTCAGAATTGAAAAAAAAAAAAAGGGAGGAAAAAAAAATTATTAGAGGCTTGCGGGCTGCAAGTTCCTATGGGCTCCTGAGTGTCTGGATGTTTCGTCCCCGCTGCTCTCCCTATCAGCTGCTGGCCGTGGTTAAACACAGTAAGTCCTGGCAAGAGCCCTGTGACCCGCCTGCTCTGACAGCCACACGCTGCGCTTCCTCGGGGCAGGGGGACGTCAGCTGGCCCCTGGGTTTTCCTGCAGGACAGGTTGGCTTGCTTTTGCAAAGCAGCACTTTCCTAGCACAGCTTAGGTGCCCTCTGTGTCTGGCCAGCAGAGGAGAGATGCCTGGGGATAAGGGCATGCAGCTTGCCTTCCTTCGGGAGTGGTTCTGTCTCTTGTTGTCTTTTGGGGGGCTTAATCTCTTTCCTAGGTATGTAGTGATCATCCCTCTGGGGGAAAAAGAAATTTCTGCAGCTGAAGTAGCCTTAAGTTTCCCCAGGAGGGGGTGGGAGAACTGGGGGAGGAGGGGAAGTGTGTGAGGTTTCAGAGCTGAGGCACAGTCTCGCTGTGTGTCAGGGCACCACAGGGTCCCCATGAAATGTGCTGAGCCACAGGTTGCCAGTGCAACGAAGCTTTGCAGTGGCAATAAAGATACTGCCTTTGGGCTGGTTTTGGTCCCCTTGACTCTGTGTTATCCCTGCGGAGGTGTGCAGTCCCCGCCGTCACACCCGTGCCCTGGGTACTGCAGTCCTCCCTTCTCGTGCCAGCAGGCTGTGTTGAGGTGGAGCAAGGCTCAGCCTCCGTGTATGGGCGTTCATTCTTACTCGCAGAGGCGGTAAGGAAGACTGTTTGCAAGGTGCTACTTAGACATCAAGCCTGAGTTTGCATCGCCTGAACTAGGTGTAATAATTTACACAAGTCCAAGTGGGAGGAAAGGGACATATTTCCAAAGCAGTAATATATACCTGAGGGAAAAGTGAGTTATCTTTGCTTGTGTATGCAGTGAGTGACAGAGCATCAGTGTGTCTGGAGTATGAAGTCATCTCGGTGATGATCCCCATCTTTCTTTTCTACTTTCAGACTTTAAAGACAGATTTTTCTATTAATCTTTCTTTTTTGTGCGTTCTTTATAACAGACTTCCCATTCTTTCTTCCTGTCTATGCTACAGTCAGAACAAGAAATTAAAAAAAAAAAAAAAAAAACCCCAAACTTTTGGCATTTCTTTTCCCAAGTTGTCTTGGAAGGTGTGGTCTCTGTTGGTAGGACACCGCCCAAGATTTTTCTAAATCCAGAGAGAAAAGAAAAAAAAATCTGTGTTGCAGCTCCTAATCCTTAAAAATGCTAAATATTTGCCACCTGCCGTCATCTTCAAAGAACTGTTGGTGCTCAGCAAATTCTGCAAGTCCTGTTATTTTATGTATTTTTTTTTTTCCTTAGAGATGCAAACACAAATTTAGTCACATATGTATTCTTTTGTAACTCAAGGCGGGGAAGAAAACAAACTCCCTAAAGCAATCTGGTGGTTCCCAGAATAAATGCACAAGAACGTAGACTGCAGTTCCCAATGGCTGCCGGGTTATTCTTAATGGTCTGGGCCTCTTATAGTAGTTCCCGTAGTTGTTTTCTTTCTTCTGCATATGGGTCATTTCTAGCAGTTTCTTAGTTGGCATTCTGCTTATTCCTTCTTTGAGGCAATAAACTTTGTTGACAGATAAACCCAATTTTGATCCCTTTCTCCAGGTGGATTCTCTTAAGTCTTCTCCCAGTTTATCAGTATCCTGTGTGCCAGTTATACTTAAGGTTTTCAGTTTGCACTCTGCTATTTTTGTCCAGGGTAGCTTGTATTTGATTTTAATGTAGATATGAGACTCAGTACGTATATATCTAACACGTAACCTTTATTCATTGATTTTATTAGTCTGTGCAACAGCAGCAGTCTGGTAGAACTTTCCTCCCCTTTGAAGACTTACCTTGTGACCTGGTTGAATTTTTTGTTTAGCATGAAATCTGCCGAGATGCCTGTGTTCCTAAGCAGATGTTTTTTGGCCTTCGGACATGCCTCAGCTCATGACAAACTCTGGGCTGTCAGAAGGTGGTACTTCATATTTGCTGCCATCCATATGCCCAGGGTAAAGGAAAGTTATTCAGAGGAATGCCACTGGTTGTTGTCCTAGAAGATCAAATGCGTCAAATGCTTCTGCAGCTGGTGAGCAAGCAAACAAGCGCTGGACCCCATTTGCCTGCCTATGGGCAACTGCATCTGTCAGTTGTTGAGCCACTAGTAAACATGATACGCTGGCATGGTTATGTTAAATCCAGGTAAAGATGAAACAGCACAATCCACAGGGGTAAATTTCTGAAACTGGTGGCATTTTGGCGGCTGAGCTTTTGCCCCTTTATCACACAGATTAGTAACTTCAAAAATGCTAAGCTACACTGATCACCTTGGTATTCCCTGCAGGAAGGTGGCATCACTTTGTCAAGGCTCTGGAAATACAGTGTGTGAGTTTGCCTTTGCTCTAGCTAGAGAGGTGCTTGCAACATCAGTTTAGTGAGAGTTTGTAAAACTGCTTCTAGTTCCTAAGTAAACTGTTGTTTTAGGGAAAAAAGGGCTGCTGACTTTTCGCCTCTTCAGTTCCCAGCCTCCTCTGAAAATAAAACAAACAAAACAAAAATCCAGGAGCTGACAGAGACAGAAAAGATAACGGGGGGGGGGAAAAAAAAAGGAAAAAAAAGTGGAGCAGCTGATCAGTTCACTGCACAAAGCGCCTCAGTATAAAGCTGTCAGCAGCTCAGCTTCTAAGCTGGCATCTGTTGGCATATCTCCATTAAAGTCAAAGCCATTCAGGTCAGGAAGCCTTCATTCACCGAAACTGAAACCGAGGTGTCTCTGCCAGCTCCCAGTCAGTCCCGAAGCCTGCCGTCTCATCCATTAGCCGCGACTGGCTGTCAGTCAAGCCCCCCTTCCATGTTATTGCTGGTTAACTCTCTTCTTCCGTCCCTCTGTCTTTTGGGACAGAGAGAGGCAGAGCCTGGCGGCTGGCAGGACGGCGTAGAGGCATGGGTAGCTTCGGATGTGATGTGGGAGCACCGGTGGAGAAGAACAGGGCATATAGCGAGCAGGCTCCTCGCTAGCACAGCTGGGTGAGATGTGGGTTGGTTGGTGGTTGTTTTTCCTTTATTGCAGAAGTCTGTCTTTTATTATTATTAACTATTCTTTTTGAGGACAAGCGGTTCATTTCGCTGCATGGTTGCAATGGAAAGCTCCTGTGTGGTACTACTGCCAGCGCTGAAACGCTCCATCTGCATGTCTGCAGGGGAGCCTTAACCAAAAGGCGTAAACACCTGTTTTTTAATGCATCTGTTTTGCTCCCTGCCAGGGAGGATCTGCTGGACCAGCTGTCCTGTTTATATGCACTCTCTGGGTCAGTCTCCAAACAGTTAAACCAAGCCCTAGCGAGGGAGGAAGTACTCTGCTAGCTTCCCAGTTTTGGTTCGGTCCTGGAGGACCCTGGAGGAGCCCCGTGGGGAAACGTCACGCTGGCACTGAGCTCGGGGACAGCTCTTGGCACCTGCAGCATGCAGGTGGGGTGGGTGGACTCAGGGGAGAGAGCCTAAGGGCTCCCAAAACTCTCCAGGGCCGAGTGTTTTCTGAACAAGGTTATGGCTGTGCAATGCACTCTTTGGGTCTTAGTTTTTGCTCGTGTCTGGGGGCAGGTGGGCTGGATCCTGAGCGCAGGACTACTCGGATCTATCCAAGAGACTGGTCTATACATCAGTGCATCTGCCAGAAATATCCACTGCAGGGGAGCCCTTGGACACCCTCTGTGGCGAGGGCCAGGTTTTCACTTTCTAAACACAGTGGGGGCATTAATGTGGTGAGAGTCCCCTTGCCATCGCTGACTCCTGCCACAGCGATGTAAGGCGCCTGAGGTCGAAAGGGAATCAAAGCTGAAGTATTTTTAGCAAAACATTTGTACTTCAAGTGGCCATGGGCCAGCATGTCTGTGTAATAAAGGACACGCTGTCTCTCGGAAGGGCTGCGATCCTGTCCCTGCCTGTGTTGGGACTTCTTGTCCTAATGCTGTGAGCCGGTAACGATAGCGTTTGCATTTGTAGTAATGCAAACCTACCAGAAATGGCATTTTCTGAAGGCTTTAGCTGCAGCTCTCTACTTGGTCAGCAGGTTAATTCTTTTTTAATCAAAGAAAAGGGCAGGTGATTACAGGGAGCAAGAGGTTATATTTAAGCAGCAGCATGCACTTCAGCCCCTGAAATTGACTTTGCACGTGCATTTTATTGATAACCAATAGGAGATTACAGGGCTTGTTTGTTTATTTTTCACTTTGCTCCTCTCTGTGTGACCTGACAATGCTGAGGTACTTTTTAATGGATCCTCGGTGGATACTCTGGGTTGTAGAAACTATCCTCCCTTCATGTGTCCTGACTGATGCTGTGCTCCTGAGACACCCAGTGAATCGAGTTGCAGCAAAGTGCAGCTATGTCAGTCCTCAAAGAGGGATCTACTTCAAAGTATGTCTTTGAAGAGAATCCATACGTAGGACTTCAAAGCTGATTAAACCGTTCGGAGTAAAATAGCACAGTGAGTCATCTGCTAGGAAAGGGCATTATTTTTATTTTTATTATTTTTCTCCCTTTCCTACAGTTGTATTTTGGAAGAGCCCTGGAGCTGGAGGTAACTGGCAAGGTTACTCGATGCTTGAAGTGATTTTGGGTGCACTCTCTCCTGGCCCTGAAGAAGCCAGTTCAGAGCTGCAGCAAAGCTGCAGCAGGAGCGTTCCCAGCCCGCCTGTGTGGTCGGTCATTTGTAGCAGGAACTGACTCGTCACGTCCCACTGCTGCTGGGATTTCTTCACTTTCTCTGCTGGGGCTTCTCCTCACAGAGCCAGGCTGCTCAAGCACTGCTTTTCAGCTCCCTCAAAACAAAATTCAGCCTGTGCCACCAGTGGTTTCTGGCTGACTCTGAAATGTGGAAGGGTATCACTGGCTGAACATCTGCATCCTCTGAAGGGTTGCAGGGCGAAGTCTGCTCCCCCTCCCTGGTGTCCCTGTCCCGTCCCCCCTGCAGTCCAGGCTGGTGTCGGGGTCATCTGAATGCTTTTGCATTTCTAATGGCCCTGCCATAAAATTCAGCCTGTGCCACCAGTGGTTTCTGGCTGACTCTGAAATGTGGAAGGGTATCACTGGCTGAACATCTGCATCCTCTGAAGGGTTGCAGGGCGAAGTCTGCTCCCCCTCCCTGGTGTCCCTGTCCCGTCCCCCCTGCAGTCCAGGCTGGTGTCGGGGTCATCTGAATGCTTTTGCATTTCTGATGGCCCTGCCACGCTGCAAGGTGAGAGCTGCTGCTGAGGGACTGTTGAATTAGAAATAGAGTACGCTTTTTGCAGCCAGAGTTGATGGTTATGGTTGAGGGGATGGTGCCCTCTGTTTCAGAATGAGGAGGAGGAGAAGAAGGCTCGGAGCGAAGGCGTTGAAAACAACAGGGCCAGCTCAGTGCTGCAGAGGGTGATTACCAGCCCCAGCGTGGCTCCCTGGCGGATGCCGTACCCCTGCTGAAAACAACATTTGTTCTGGCCGTAGCTTCAGCATGCCAGAACGCCTCTCCACCCTTCCTTATTTTTAATCATTGCTGCGTTTTGCTCTGATGGACTTTGCTGGCAAATGCCTGCCTTGAAGTAAAGCTGATGTTAAAGGCATGCAGGTTTATTTGAGAGAAAAAGTTGGTTTTCTTCCTGTTTCCTCCTCTTTTTCCAAAAAGTGCTGGGAAGGTCCCAGACCCCATCTCATCCAAGCTCCACCTGAAATTGATGCATCCAGTGCACTCCCTCTGGACATGTGCACTGGATGGATGAGCATTCGTTGGGGAGGGGCCCCGTGTGCACCCAGGGGAGACGGTGTGCTACAGACGATATGCTCTACGCTTCGGTCCAGCGAGAGCTGCAGGCAGTGGCAACCTGGTGTCGCTGGCATGGCTGGGCTGAGGGCAGCACTTCAGCTGAGCTGTCACACCCTGCCATGCAGTGTCAACTCCCAACGTTTCTCTTTGCTAGCGGCTGGGGCAGTTGCTCTGTGCTGGATGTGAGCTCTTCTACCATAAAGCAAAATGCTAACATGCTTTTCTTCCTTGGGACAAAACAGAGAATTTTTTCCCCATGGATTTGCTAAAAAGTGAAGAGCATCCCGAGGTTTAAGGCACCTGAAACTGCAGGTACTCATGCCACGGTTTCCAGCTGCAGCCTAGTTGGGAGAGTGGGATATGAGGTACCATTCTGTTACTGGCCTTGCTCTGTTTTTATCTGTAAGTTGCAGCCATTCCCCAGTCATGCATTGCTGCAGAGGCTTTCCATTTTTGTGAAATCCATGATGGGGGTGGGTGGGAAGGGGAATAAATGAATTGAGAATATTCTTAAACAGACCAAGTGTGCTAAGTGCTGAGCGTGGTTGAGATACCTTGGCATTGGGAGCTAAATCACTTTAGACCTCATCGATAATGGAATAATTGAAGAAAACAGTATAAAATGTTTCAGACTCTGCCTAGCTGTTACGCTGTGTTATGGGCAACCAGGTTTACAGATGTTACAGTCTGCCCATGTTTCAGCTATGAGCGTGGAGGGGTGGCTGCTGCTGGTAGAAGGTATTGAATTCACCATAGCAGCTGTTTATCAAATTGCTGTGATTTCTGCTGGTTATGGTGGTCACAGCCTCTGTGCATTCTCTGTGAACCTGGGAATGCTTTGGCAGAAGGAGGGAGGATGTGTCAGGAGTGCATTGCTGGGGACAGAAATAAGAAGGTCTTAAGGACCTGGTTTCTGGAGACAGCTTATACACTGTGAGACCAAAGGGGTCTGGTTTTTTTGTAGCTTCTGTTTTCTGTGTTTTCTGATAGCAGAGATTAATGTAAGAGTCTCTTCATGAAAATCAGCAGCCGTTACTGTACAGGCAATTACCAGTAGTATCGTTACAGTCCCTTTTGGCCTTGAATCCAGGATTAGGGGGAATATAATCTATTACATTTTCAGCCTACTTTTGTCAGTGGAGGTTTCTCATTTTTATGTGATAAAGAGCAGAGCTGCACGAGAAATCCGTGTCCAGTCTTGCTCTGCATCACAAAGCCCTTTCTTGGCTCTGTTTAGCTGGTAATGCTGCTGTGGACCCTTTATGTGTAGAAACTGTGGACTGCAGAAGGCAGAGCTATTTGCAGTTTCCGTCGCTCCTAGCCCTTGATCAGAACCCATTATAAGCACTTTACAGAGGGAAGCAAGTATTACTATCTGTGTTCAGCAGCTGGGGAAACCGAGGCACAGAAGGAAAATGGTATGCCCAGACAGGCTTGGAGGTAGGAAGAGATGTCAGCCTTTTCCCTGAGTAACACCCCCTGAGACCCTGCTAAAATGCCCTGTCCAGAAGGCAGCTTGCAGCAGTCATGCACGGGGTGTCTGTATTTCCTAAGCCTTCAGTGATGTGGGCACTGGGTCTTCTCACCACCTAAGAAATGAAGTCACCACTTGAGAACCGAAGTCTCACTTTAATGTTAACAATCTGGCATTTTCCCCGAATAAGAGGCTTATGTTGCAGACAACCTATATTGTTGGTTTGATTGCCGCCTTGTAATACTTAAGTAATAAGCTAATTAGCTGTCGAAATAACTGAAGGAAGCGACCCTTATTCTTTGGCCTGATACATATATGGGGACACTCGCCCCTCACCCCCAATCAGCATGAAGTTTTAAATCTGGGAGGTTGGAAGATACGGTTTCTTACGCAGCCTCTCAGCTAGTTTTGGTGAGCAGGGGAAAGAGCACGTGTCCCTTCTTGCTGGGTGTTCCTCCTTTGCATCCCAGCCACTGCTCTGAGAGGCAAAACAGAAGCGGGGAGCTGCCGTACTGTTTATTTCACTAAGTGGCAGATGCTGGCACTTCCTTTCTTTCTACACTTACGGTGGTTTGTGGTAACGTTGACTCTCATAGTGCACTGGTTCTTAGCAGGGTGCAAATGTTTCTTGTCAGCTTTGGCCATCTTTCAGGGCTATAAATATTGCCTTTAATAAAGAGCAGTGGTGAAACAGGGCTGTGATTTATGAGTAAGGCTCTACAAGTTGGCACCGCTTTCAAAGCAGTGTTTGTACGTGGAAGGCTCGATAGATGTGTAAGCTCACCTGGTTATCCTCGTCAATTGCTAGAGCTGGGAGTTGAAACCAGTCGTGCCTGATTTGAATGGACAAGGTTAGATGTCTGTTTTCCCCACGTACTTGATAAAAAAAAAAAAAAAATTGTACCCGCAGTGTGATACTTTTGGTGTTCTATCAGCAGGAGGATGGAAACAGAGGTGAAATGGGAAAGTCTCCTTCCTGCAGGAGCACCGCACACCTCCTTGTCTTAAACCATGCAGGTGATGATTTGTGTGGAAAGAGGCATGCAGAATAGCAAAGCTTTTTATTTTAAGCTCATGTTGTACAAAAATCTAATCTTTAAAGGGTTAATAAGGGACTAGCAGACATTTCAGTAAATGGCTAGGTAATAATTGTTACTGGAGCAGATCAATGGGTTGTTCTAACCATGGCTTGTCAAAAGCCCGAAGATTACAGTGGTGTATGAAACTGTGGTATGTTGAAGTGTTGTGTTTAAAATCATTGTTAACTCATTCCACTCATATCTGCCCTGTGCATGACCCCTGTTGATCATTCATTAGCCCTGTGTAAACGAGGATTTAGTGGAAAGAATTTCTGTATAGTATTTTTTTTAAACAGAAGTGCTGTAATGCACGCACACACACACAGAGCTGAGATTTTGCAAGAATTTTCATGCCAGTGTCAGAGAAAAGCTTTTCCAAAGTTAAAAGCCTGCCTGCATGCAGGGGTGTGTATGTGGGGGTGCGCTTTCTGGTGTGGAGTGCTCTTGCCTCTTTGAGGGGAGAAGCAAAGCAGGCACACAGCTCAGCCAGAGCTTTCCTACTGTAGTAGAGGTGGGAGGAATCTATAAATGCATGATTTATGTAAAGTGCCCTGGGATTGCCATGTTGAACATCTTGACTTCGAGCAGCCGGTGAGGAAAATTATTGCCACCACAAGGGAGCAGGAGGGAAGCAAGCAGTTCTCCAGGCTGGCCTGGGTGGCTTGCGTGTGTCTCCTGTTCCCTAAATTGGGTTTCTTGGTCTGAGCCTTGCTTTTTCTAGCGGTGCCTCCCCCTGGGATGCCTGCTGCTCACGGGCGGCACGGAAGCCGCTGAGACTTCTGCGGATGTTATTTTAGATTTGGGGAGTTGTATTGTTTCCAGGACAACTGGGGAAGAATGAGGAAGGGACTTGTGCCGAGTCAGCTTGGAGCTACTGAACACCCAGGTTTGCTCTCTGTGTTTTCCCCTGGAAAATGGCTAATGGCCTACTTTTACAGGGACCCCTTCAAGCCAAGCAAGCGATTGGGTTAAAAAATACTAGTGCAAGAATCAAATGAGGAGCCAATGTTGTCAGGTGCAGTTGTAGGCTGATAACAGCAAACAGCTCTCTGTGAAGTGAGCACAAGCTGTGGACACCCAGCACACTCAGAAGGTGAGTGCAGAGCAGAATGTGTTTCTGGGCTGGAAAGCCCATATCTGGGTCTCTGTGTTTAACTCTCTTAACCTCTGATGACTGCTAAATAAATGTCCTTGTTCTACACAACTCTTTCAGTTAAGTGGAATTTGCTATATTGTGTAATCTTGCCTCTCTACCATTAATTGCATTCTATTCCAAGAGGAATTAAATTCTTCTTGAAACTGTAATGTCATCTTATTTTTCTTCTTTCCATATTTTTTCCATCTTATAGCAATGCTGAACTGCAGAATATGGTGTTAGACTCCAGTGCTGCCATGGGGAGCAAGGAACTTCAGGAGAAAGATGCCGCCGGAGCCCTTGGCCACGATCTCAGCAATGGCAGCAGCAGCAATTTGGAAGCAGCCAGGCGCCTGGCTAAGCGCCTCTACCATCTGGACAGATTCAAACGCTCTGATGTGGCAAAGCATTTGGGTAAAAAGTATGTGCTGCTATGAGGCCTTTGGCCACGTTGTTGTTGTTGTTGCTGGTTCTGGAGGGGTTCATTCTTGAATGATAACCTTTACTTATCTGTTTGTTTAAAGCAACGAATTCAGCAAGCTTGTGGCTGAAGAATACCTGAAGTTTTTTGACTTCACAGGCATGACGCTGGACTACTCGCTCAGGTACATGCCCGTTTGCAGACCTTATGTTCTTGTTTTAGTAATGTGTCTGTTTGCTGTGTTGTCCTCATTGAAACGGTTGCCCTGTGGGGGCTTAAGAGGGTGAAGAGAGGGATGTGATGCATTTCTGGGACGGAGCTTTTCTCTTCTGTTTGACTTGGCATGCTGCCGTACTCCAGAGTGGTATTGGAACAGTGGTGTTCCCTGGAGAGGGAAATCTTTGGGTGGACCTGCTTGGAGATGGCCCTTGATGCAGAGGATATGGAGAAAAATGACCAGTTGCTCAGTAAACAGGGGACTTGCAGTCTGCCAGGTGCTGCTGGGGAATGAAGGTGTTGCTCACAGCTGAGCTGCACAGACTTCTTGGCTGATGCCTTTTGGAGCTTGCTCTGTCTGCCTGCAGTGCGCAAAGCCAGGGCCAGGGTTTGATCTGGCTCAGCAGCCCCCCTTGCCGTGTCCCTCTGAGGCACCCAAAAATGTGCAGAACGGCAAAAGCTTCCACATGGAAAATGCTGTTGAGAGTTTGGTAGCTGCTAGCGTGGGTGTTTGAAAACCCAGCCCTTCAATTTTCCTTCCTTTTTACATTGGAATTAGGCCTCAACAATGTTTGTGTTCAGTATGTTTTTTCTTAGGAGGGAAAACACCAAGTTTGTGTAGCAGTGGCCTGTTAGCACAGTTGCTGGTGTTCTGGTGTTTAAAGGGATTTAAAGTGAGTTAAATCATCTGGCTGAGGTTACTCAAGTGGCTTTGTTTTTTTCTGATGTCACAAAACCAAGGGGTCTGCAGGCACCTGCCAGTCCCCTTGCAAATGCATTTCCGGGGGCCTGACTCCAGGAAACCCATAGCAGACCCCAGGGAAAGACCAGATTCCTGCCTGCCGAAGGCAGTGGAAAGGAAATACACCTGTGGAAGAGTGAACTGCCTGCTCCTGTGGCAGGGGGATCAGAGCCGAGCTGGAGCACCCAGCCAGCACAGGGCAGGGGCAGCCAAGTTGGTGGGAGGTCTGCTGCTCATTCCAGGTTTTAGCAGCCCTGAAGCGCAATGCTAAATATACCCATCTTTTGAATTGTGAAATCCAACACCTAATTGCTTTGTGGCACATATTTAGGAGGTCTCTGCTCCCGGTAGATCTCCTGTTAATATTAATAGTTGTGACCTTCTCTAAAATATTCCCTGGCTCATGTGGGACTTTGACACACCAGGGTTTCACTGAGTTTTCAGGAGTAGCCTCAGCAACTGCCGGCTGCGCAGCAGTGGCTGGGGACAGAGCATCGTCCCGAACCCCGGGGGAGCCACGGCGTGCTGCCTCATGCTTGCAGGGGGTGAGAGGTAACCGCCCTGCTGCTGCTGGCTCGCTGACAAGCTGTGGTTTGTTAAGCGTTTTGGAGCCTGTGGCGGCAGCCCAGACCCACACTACCCCCAGGCTGTGGGAGGCCGATGTACAGTGCGTATCACTGGTGGTGGCATGTTTGGGATGTGGGGAGGGTTGTTACTTCATTGTCGTGCTCTGCTTCCACACCCTGGACCAATGTTGCCCGCTCATCTCCCAAGTGCATCTCTTGCATCCTCCACAGGACGGGGGGAGTGGGACCGCTGCTCCAGTCCCTCTCAGAGTCCATCCTAGTCCTTTTGGACAGAAACTCACCCCACGGCCCTTGGCCTGCAGCTTTGTGCTCTGAGAGCAAGGAACCTGCCTTGTTTATTTAGCAAATGTTGTTTTATCAGCTGCCTTTCTGAAGTAGCTTCCAGAGGGGTAAAGGTGCTGAAGAGGAGGAGAGGGTGTAGGTCGGTGGTGTCTGGCATGGGCAGGAGTATCACTGGAAAGAGCCTGAGCTGGAGGAGGACGAAGGACGGCTAACTGTCAAAATGTCGTATGGGGACATGAGGTAGGAAGGGAGGAGAAACTTGCGAAGACTCAGTTGTATCTACTTGTGAATTGGGTTATTTGCAATACATTACATGTGAAATTAAGTTATTACCAGGCAGATCACACTCTGTGTGGGTGCGAGATCATTGCAAGTACAGTCCATCTCTGACCTTACATCAAAGAGAAAAAATTAATGTTTATTCGTCCAGGCTAGACAGATGTGAATGTTCCAGCAATATATTCCACGCCTCTCTGATCTGGTGGTAGTTTAAGTCTCGTGGGGTATTTAAAATTTGTCTGTTAGGCATTCATTTGGTATGCTGTCTTGCTTTGGACCCAGAAGGTTTGTGTTTTCAGGCTTTTCTTAGTAGATCTTGACAAATGAGTGTAGGCTGATACTGCTGAGGTCATCTCATGGCTCCAAGATGTGGGGATTTGGGGAAGTGCAGAAGTTCTTCTTTGGCTGCAAGGCGAGTTTTTCTAGCAGGAAGGGTAGAGGTGTCGTTAAGAGGCGGGGTGGTTAAGTATCAGGTGAAGAGTGGAAGATGTGTGTTTGTCCCACCTCTTTGCACAGGCTTGCTGGCTGTGTCTAACAAGCATGCCTAGGTGTGCAGCAGCCCTGTGCCCTGGACTGTCATGAGCAGGAACCTGAGAGGGCCAGGTTCCATCTCAGCGGGAGATGTTGTGACTCTTCTGCTGTCTTCCCCGGATGTTTTCTGCTGCTCAGGTAGTGGCTCTTCCCTCTGCAAGGTGACTGTTGTGGTCCTGGCCGCTCTGATAGGTGACCCTCCAGAAGGAGGACTGCATATTAGGTGTGGGCTCTGAGTCTGCAGTGCACCTGCTTGACTTCACCACCTGGAGTAGGTCCTCTGAATTTGATGGGAATACTAATTAGTGCAGAGCTAAAAGCTGCAGGGGTGACAGTTAGAAAAGGACAGAGAACACCCTGGATGTCTGCCACGCGTAAACGCCTGCTCTGGTTCCTTCCCCAAAGAAAAGAAAAATATTAGAACTAAGAACAGCTCTTTCAAATGATGTAATTGCTTATTAGTTTGTGTATTCTGTGGCTGAGACCAGCGGTAATTCAACTCCTGCTTCATTTACTGTAATGTTGGGATTAACTGCACACAGGATAATAGCCCGTTTTCCTAGAAAGGCTTCTTGGAACCAAATGTCTGGTGTGCGCTTATGTACTTCTTGCTGTGAAGTGTGCTTTGCTCTGTGTGCTGTGATGCAAAAAGAGATTTATGACTTTAATTTCACCTCTTCTCCTTTTTTAGGAGTTTCTTTAAAGCCTTTTCACTTATCGGAGAAACTCAGGAACGAGAGAGAGTGTTAATCCACTTCTCCAGCAGATACTACCAGTGCAACCCAAACACCATTTCTTCTCAAGGTAACTTTGTTTCTGATATGAAAGTCTTTGGTTGTCTTCCTTCATTCTTGTATGTATGGTGTGTTCCTGAGAACTGAAGGTGTGTAATTGCTGTACCACGCTTTAGAGACTGCCTGTGGTGAGCATTGAATCCCTCCACACATAACTGTGGTAAGGCAGTGAAAAATCTGAATTTATCCCCAGTCAGGAAAGGCGTTTAGGCCTGCTCAGTGTAAATCCTCAGTTGTAGCATCTCCAGATCTGAATGTCCTCCTCAGTTGTGGTTTCTGGTCTCGCTGACTTCCAGCGTGTGTGGGTACCTGTGCTCTAGCTGCACACACATGGGCAAGAACAGGTTCCATCTCAAGTGGAAGAGAAACTGTTTGCTTTCTGTGCTCCATTCAGTGCTTGCGTCTCTGCAGGCACTGGCAGCAGGCATGGCAGTTCTTGCCAGTTGTGGGGGTGAATTTTGGGTGCTGTATCCAGACCCTGGCATGGTTTCATCTCGACTAGCTAACATCAGTCAGAGTGCTGCCTCCCTGCCAATGTTTTCAGTCATTTTGAAAATGGATGGGGGAAACAAACAAGCACACGGATCAAACCTCGGAAAGTTGGCATTGAAGAAGAGGACGAACTGTCCGCCGGCATAGCTGCTGCGTTCAGCCAGCCACGCCGGCAGAGGCACGCAGCCCTGTGATTGCAGCGCGGGCTGATCACAGGCTGAGAAAGGGAGGAGTGCGGGAAAAATAAGCGCAGGCTAAGCCGTGCCTTTTAGTCTCAAGTGTAAGCAAGGAGCTGCTGCACTTGGAGGTGCTGCCACATTTCTTTACCCCTTGCTTTGTGACCTGCCCCCATTGCAGTGAGGTGATGTTTGCCCACTTTGCGCCTGTTTGGCTTTGCTAGCTGGCATGCCAGGGAGGGAAATAAGTAGCAGTAAGACAGGATCTGCTCCAATGATATCTCTGTCCTCTTCCTAATGCTTTTCTTGTTTCAGGACACCACAAGCAGCCAGGTAGAATAGCTGTGTTGTGTCCAGGCTGCATGTTAATGTGGCAGCCTTACTCTAGTCCAGGGTGCAGGAGGGACATTGCCACTTCTGAGCCTGAGTAAGCATTTAAATTTAAGTGAGTCCTGCAGACTTTGCCCAGGATTCTACATAATTTTGATGCTGTAATTCTACTGCCAGTAGTTGGGTGCTACACTGCAGAAATCTGGTGGTTGTTCCTTTTAATGGAAATC